ATTATTCACCAACAAATAAGATACAGTTAGTGATATATCTTATTATACATTTATATTGCGTACCTGTATATAAATTTCACAATAAAACCTAAAAATTTCACTGTTTACTATGACTATTTGTCACTGCATGTATTCGGCGCGTATATTTAGAACGACAACGGTTCTATGACTGCGCGTGCGCAACTGAACTAAACGATCGAGAATCAATCCCGGTCTTCTTCACACTCCAAGTGTCCCCCTCCTAGGGGGCCTCGGGGTGAGCCTCTTTGCTCCGTGTCTGTCAGTACCCTTTATGTAATACAATGGATCAATCTGAGGGTAACATGATGGTAAGGTGGGAAGGGGGTTGTTAGTAATGGGAGTTAGTAACCCCCATTGCTAGCAATATACCATGTTAGGTCGACCACGCGGTTATTTTTGGAAAACGTCGTGATAAATTGCTAGCGAATTTGTCACGATGTGCTGACTGACCTGACCTCATATCATTCTCTCAACCTCCACCGGTGCCCCGCCAGCGTAAACTATTTCATTGCATATTTCATTATCATCCACAAAAAAACATGATGGTAAGCAATAACCGTCGCCTATAGGGAGGGAGTGTATGCGTGTGTGCATATCACGCGGTTCCCCCTGAAAATAATCGTGATAAATTCCTGGTGAATTTGTCACGATGGCCTAACTGACCTGACCTCATGTTCATCTTATCAGCCTCCACTGGTGCCCCGCCATCGTAAACCATTAGCGCAGGCGGGTGCACCATTTCACTATTATCCACAAAAAAAACATGATGTTACAATAACCGTCGACTATATGCGGGAACAGAACTATGGACATTACATTAACATGTGTCGCCTGTGATCCGTGATACCACTCATTGTCATTCTTGAGAACTAAGATGTTATGATGATGTGCCTCTGTGATGTTATGCCTCTTATTCTGTAATTTTATTTCTCTTTATTTATTTAAATAACTTTAATGCACGTCATACACAGGTAAAAAGTACATATGGCGGACTTAACACCTAATGGCATTTTCTACCAGTCAACCATGAGTTGTGCAGAGATAAGTTGTTGGCGGTGCAAACAATATTATAATATTTAATAGAATATACATGAATAAATATATATATATATATATATATATATATATATATATACATATGTAAATACATAAATATTCCTACAAATATACAACAAATATATATATATATATATATATATATATATATATATATATACAAAAATATACCATACACATAAATATATGACCAATAATCTGACAATAATTTTATAATTGAAATAATAGGTTCTTGACACTGAATTAAATAATATTATAGCGACAGATAAGATAATTTTTTTTTTTTTATTTCAATACATTTTTCCACAGACATATTCGTCCGTGCCTTTTTTAATTTACTTTAATATTATAATATTTATTTAAGCCGAGATGTTACAATTTGCCTAACAGTGACACCGAGGCAGACCTTATCCGTCTGGCCCAGAACCACCGCTGGCCGGCCGGGTGAGTTAACAACATGCAGTGTCACCCATCTTTATTTGGAGGATTAGATTTACCAATATGCATATACAATTATATATATCTTACACTATAAATATAATAAGATATTATTACATACTAATAATAAACTAATTTGTACCCTATAACCGAAATAGCTTCCAAAGTAAGCTGCTCGACCGCAACAATAAGTGAGACCCACGCAGTCGTATACTGTTTTAAATTTAACATGGTCATTATTTATTACTTATAATTAGGAAAAATCACGGGATCTTACTACGTTTATATTCATTGAGTTTCCGTTATTTCGGTACTGTGACAACCGCCATGATGACGGGTAAACTGAAGAGCAGCGGGGAGATGGTAAATAAAATCTTTTATAGGCAGACATATGCGTCTACCTTCACACGTTTTCGTTTGTTGCTACTACTGGAACTCGCTCGATATTCATCACGGTAAACTGTACTCACAGTATCTTCACGCACATTTAATACAATTTCTGATCGCGATTTTTGATTTGTTCAATTAAACCAACCACACCTGGAATCCCCAGGCATTGGAGATAACCATCTTCCCGATTGAATTTTTTATATTTCTATATTTCAATATTGTTTATATATATCATGTTATAATAATTTTCATCCTTCTATAATACAAGTATATGTATTGGGAAGGAACTGGCTTCTGTCATACGGCTAATGCTAGTTCAGAAGCCAGGACTACACATAAATACTGAAAGGATTGATATTGTCTAGAATGTGTACCTATAGTATAAATAATATTGTAACGATCCTTCTAAATTTATTTTAATAAAGATTATTATTATATTATTAAAAAATGCGATAAAAACGTAGAGAACTTTGAAAAAGAGCGAGCACAAAAGATCAATGCAGGTCGCAGTGTTACAGGTCTTTGCACATGACAATTGGCAAAACACCCAATAAATAAAAAATATAGTATCTCCACAGCTAAATTATTACATAGGATCACTAAATACGGATTAAGAAATTATAGTCGATGTATTTTATTCTTATACATTTACTATAGTAAACTGTAGTTCCTCCTGGTGTTTTTTTTTTATAACACAGGGGCCAAATGAGCTCACCGAATGGTAAATGAATACCGCCGCCCATGAGCACCCGCAACACAAGGGGAATTGCAAGTACGTTGTTGGCCTTTTAAAAAGGAATAATCTCTTTTCTTGAAGGTTTCAATATCGTATCGGTTCGGAAATACCATTGCTGGAAGGTGATTCCACAATGTGGTTGTGCGTGGCAAAAAGCAAAAAAATTTCTAGAAAACCGCACTGTGGAGGACCGCCATTCAACCAGATGATGATAATTGGTCGCTTTCATACATGAGTTACGGATATCAACTCATCATGTGACGACCTTGGCACCTTACGTGTCGTACCAATTTGTAGGACTTAATTACGCGGTACCCTGTAATTTCCCTGCCGTAACTCTCCCCTCAACTGAAAAACAGCATACAGAACAAGTTACTTGGCGCCTAAATTAGGTGACATAGAAATTAAGTCTACTAGGTCACTAGTAATACATGTTACAAAATAACACTTTATTTCAAGTTTAAATATAATATATACATTTTAAAGTAAGGTTTGTAGAACTAAGGTGTCATACATGGTACCCTGTAATTTCCCTGCCATAACTCTCCCTTCAACTAATTATCAGATTTCAAAAGCTGCTTGGAGGCTAAAATAGGTGATATAGAAATTCCCACGCAGAGGACTTTGTACAGAGTTTCCTAGATCGCAAATAATACAAACATGTTACAAAATAACACTTTATTTCAAGTTTCAATATAAAAATATACATTTTAAAGGAAAATAATCACGAATAATTTATACATAAATAATGTGATTACATTAATCTGGTCTTACGTAACCGCATCTATCATCATCACATTAGATCTATCATAATATATATCTGTCTGTCAGTGGTATTTTATGCGTTTTTTATAGCACAGAGGGCAAACCAGCGTGCAGTACATCTAATGGTAAGTGATTACCGCCGCCTATGAGCATCAGCAACAACAGAAGAATTACGGGTGAGTTCTCAGCCTTTTAAGAAGAGTTAGGTAGGGGAAGGAATTAGAAACTTGATAGAAGGGAGGGGACTGTTGTTGTAAACGCAACACTTGATATGCCCATATTTGCTGGGTATATTTAAATTTAACCATGTCTCGGATTAATTTTTGGTTTTGATATCGGTGTTTCCTTCACCGGAGAGTCGATCAGAAATATAAATAGACGCACAAAATTTGTTTGTTGTGTGGACCAGATTTGAACTTACAACCCTCGGGTGTACGTCGGGATAGTGAAGCACTAAGCCGCTAGCTATACTGCTACGCTCCCAAATCATAATTTCATCACTGTCCCTTAATTCTAGAAAATTCTAATAATTAATTAAATCTTATGATTATAAACACTTGCATTTGACTGAATTAACTTTACTCTTACTGTAATCTTACTTTACAGCTACCATAAAGTTAACTATCTATAATATAGCATAATAAAATATACTATATAAAGTATACAATATAAAAATATGAGTACATAGAAATTTCTGTTCATTTCATTATATTATATTTGTTTTATATACAATTTATTGCACCAATTACAATAAAAGAAAACATACGTATAAAAGGCAATATTAGAACTGTTTAACAAAAATATAATAGAATCTTTTTTAAAAAAAGTTTGGGATAACAAAATAATATTTTAGGTGTAATTTCATGCTATATGGCACTTTAATTCATAAATAAATTTTCAAGTGAGGGGGTAACTTCGATTGTATTCATTATGATATCTATGTCGACGGATGAAATTGTCGTAACTTGAAAAACCCAACTTTAAATTAATTCTTTTATTCAAAAATTCAGTAACTCATATATTTATCTAGATCCTTTAGGCGGGAGTTGGACTTCAGCCGCTCCGTAAGTCCTTTCGCGGGTTTGGAGTGTTATTCGCACTCGCCCCCTATCGTAATCGTCCGGTGAACTGTAAGGGCCAGCTACGGCCAACAGCATTAGAGTAGTCCGAATAAAAAAAGATAGAAAGTCGAAAATTGGTAAATACCAATTTTCGACTTTCTATCTTTTTTTATCTTTTAACTCAAATATTTATTTATTTAACTTTTTTATTTTTGAGTTATGCATTTTCGAAACAGTTTTTTCGGTTCAGGTGTTAAATTGGATTTTCAATTTACGACAATTTCGCTTTCTTCCTTCGATATATCCATGTGAGGTCCAAATTTATTTTGGTGATCTTTTACTCATTCATGCTCACTTTCTTCAATAATAACAATATAATATACTAATGTCATGACTTATATTCTTGAAGGTAAATATTTATCTGATATTCTATGTTATTATTTAAATACAGTTTATCAGTTATTTGTATCTACTGGGCTCAGAATAGCAACACTGGCCGCTTATATAGAGAGTATAATATCGAGTAATATCCTAAATAAATTAACAAATATTGTAATGCTTATTCTATCAAAATGACTGCATCAAGAATTATATATTAATCTATTTTAAACCTTCTTATATTATAAGTAAAGTATTTTATCCTTCGTACACCTCCACGCTGGCGGCACCATTTATATCCTTGAGTTCAACCGATTTGAAAGTTGCTACGATGTTAATTTTACCCAGTTTCTGTGGAAAAAGGTATTCCATTAATAATTAAGTTTACAGTTTAGTTACTTTTAGACTCCACCTCTTTCTTATAGCAGGAGGGGATTGTCAGTAATGGGGACTAGCAACCCCATTGCTAACAAAGTACCATGTCCACACAATTCACGCAATTCTCCCTGGAAATCATCATGTTAAATTCCTGATGAATTTGCGTCGATGAGGTCATTGGAGGTCCCAAGGGAATACCGTTGCTGCAGGCGGGTGCACCATTCCTTTATCATCCATTATAATATTACCACTGATAAGTAAACTGCACAGCTATAAAAGAGTGTCCTCTTTTATAGCGCAATAGAGTTGAAAAAGCATTAAGTCATACGGTGGACTTAATGCTTTTTCATATGCTATCATAAATAATTAATACTAGTCTCATTTCAAAAAGGTTACTTACATTAGGCTGTACAGGTAGTTCAGCAGTCAACAGACCCTGGGGAGCTACATCTGCGGCAGGCAGGCGGAGCGTGCGGCCCGTTATACCTGAAGATGTCACCCTGAACTCGCAACTGGTCAGGGTCACCTCCAATGGATTGACAAATGACAGCACCGCCGTGGATGGCTGGCCGAGCACCAAGTCTTCATTGAACTGAAATAATAAGAATTTTCACAATTTAAAATTAGAAAGAATATCATGATGATTGATAATGAAACTTAAAAATAGAAAACAATATTTTCAGTTGCTTTTTAAAAGAAAGCTTTTGAAACGTGGTGTTGAAGAAGAATAGATAGAATTAGTTGAAAAGATAAAACAAGAAATGAAGAAGTACGGCAAAGGGTTAAAGAAAAGAAACAGATCATAAATATGATTGAGAATAGGCGAGGAAAATGTTGGACCACTTTATACGACACGACGAACCTACTAATTTCAATTTTTTCTTCGATAATATTCGAAGAAGGGGAAGTACGAAATAGAAAAGAAAGGAGAAGAACAAGACACAGGTATATTAAGCAGATTATGGAAAAAGTTGGAGACATGTCGTATAACATAACTAAAGAGATTGATGAAAAATCCTGGAAAATGGCAAAAGCTTTACCGGATAAGAGCGCGGCTCTTAATTTATGAATGAATGACTTCCAAAAGGATCTGAAATTTATTTTTTACTTTAAGTAATCAGACCATCGATAATAATGTCTACTATACCTTAATATTAATGTTGGGTTTGAGAATTTGGAAGTCGTCATCATCTGCCCAGGACTGCTTGGTCTCTTCAACTATCACCATCGCCGATATCTTCATGTTGCAGTACTCCACTAACTTCGGTAAATAGTCACTCGCCGTTACTAGAATGCTTATTTCTTCATCTGCAAATTATAATATTACATCTCATGTATCTTCAAGCCTGATTCCTTATAGAGTATGCAGAGAGAAACCAATTTTAGTAATGGAGATGGAATGGTAAGGAAGTTGACGGTTTTTCTCATTTCTTCCTCAAGTGACAGCTATCGTCTACAAACATGAAACAGATATCACGATAAAAATTCAATATTCAAAATATCTTTATTAATGTAGGTCTATTACAGACTCTTATGATATGTCAAATCTACCATCAGTTCGGAATGATTTCAAGATGAGAAGAACTGCCAAGAAATTCGACTCGTATTTTTGTTAATAAATGTTGTACATGTTTACAATGATACAGATTAATTTAAATTTAAATTTGAGAGAATAGAGTGACCACCAGCACATGCTATTGCAAAAAAAAATCTAATCAGTATTTGCAACTTGAACAGACCAGTTCCCACAAGCATATATCAAGATCTCACGTAATACCACTCATGTAGGACTAAGTTGCCATGTTTTCTGTATCCTATAATTTGACTACCTTATCCTATCATTCAACCAAAACATAGCTTGCAGCAATATGCGAGACCAAGATTTACCTATGCAGACACTTTATATAAAGAAGTAACGGTATGCTAAAGCGTTAGAACACCCATCAATCAATATACGACAGTAAATGCTTCACTTAAGTACTACATATTCTAAAATCCGGAAATTAATTATACTTACTCTTGTTTGGTGCTAAGAAAATTTTCCCTTCAACTTTCTTAACTACGTCAGCCCTGACCCCATTGTAGAACACACTGGTTGCCGACAGAGATGCCTTTACATTGCGAGCCTGAGATAAAATAAAATTGTAAACAAATAAACACTATACACATTAAATAAATGGGACATTTACCAGAATAATATTATTTAAGAGCTCTATATTAAATAAATTCATTTAATTCATTACTTAATTCAATAATCTACAATTCCATATAATCTATTATACAAAGTGAATTAAAAGTATCACATAGGTACCTGATCTGAATTGTTTTGTATATCAACGGCGACCCTGAACTCCTGACCAATTGGTACACTGTCCAGCTCACGTAACTTGAATGTGACGTCACTTGAGAGGTTGGTAGCTACCGAGTAATACCTGAAAATATGTATTTTTAAATATATTTCTTTATTCGATTAAAGTGGCAAATACAGCTTGACGGTTCAATCACCTCAAGAAAGGTAGGTGTGACGGCTCATGTATGCCCGACTTACCAATCGATCCCACGTCCCACTAAACAAGAATCGAAATCACGACGGCTTAAACCGAAGTACGAGCTCCTAGCGGTAGCCTCTGAAGTTATATCCGTTAGGTTGGGGGCCGTCAGACTCTCTATAAACATTTCGCGGGTTTGGAATGCTCTCTGCACTCGCCCCTCAATCGGTAAAGATGTAAAGCCCAGCTACGGCTAACAGCATTAGAATAGATCGCGATATTCAAAGAATATAACTAACCTCTTAGCTCTCTCCGAGAACCGTACTCCGTTCATGAGGGCGAGTCGTTCCGAGGCGGTGCCCTCCCTGTACTTGTACTGGTCGGTGATATCTTCGCGGTCTTCATCACCAATAGGATCGAAGACAAATGGCTTCTTGGTCAGGATCATGCGGCCAATGCTGTAAGTAATAAGTTGCTATAAGAGAAACCCCCGTAAAATGTTATGTTTCTAGTCCCAGAACTTTGAATAGATGATGGAATGGATGAATGGAATGGTGCACTCGTCTGCGCTAATGATTTACGCTGGTTGGGCACCAGTGGAGGATGATAAGATGAACATGAGGTCAGGACAGTTAGACCATGATGACATATTCACTAGGAATTTATCCTAATGGTTTTCAAGGGGAACAGTGTGAAAATTAATAATTCATGGTACCTTCCACATTACGAACAATCACCCCAGAAGTTTGAGGTTTACCTATATTGTTTAATTATTCGTTTTTGGCAAATTGTTTAATTAGTCACAAAGATTTCTTTATTCTACAGAATATGGAGGAACCTAACTGTATATAATATAATTTGTACGACTAAATATGAAATTATTATATTTGTACGGATGAACTGGATTCGCATTTATTACTTAAGTTATTGAAAACAAGCATATATTTATACTTACTGGTAATTATTAGTATCAACTACTGAATAGCCAGATTCATCATCAGGGTCTATTCTCCAGCGCATTAGGTCAGCATTAACAGATGCCAGCATGAACTCCACATCATGAGCCACGCCCAATACTCCTTGCTTGATTGCTTCTAATGAAGCCGGCCCGCACTGGTAGAGTCCTGATGAAGTTTCTTGAGGAGTTGCATCAATAGCTTGCCAACCACCATATCCTGGAGAGATTTTTAATATGCAATCAGAATTTAGCCGTAATGTCATCTGACGTTAACCTTTTTTATATAATCGGGATGGAACAAGCAGCCCATCTAAACGATATCAGGCCTCTGTACCATGTAATTTCAATGTCATATATCATAATTCAACCGAAACACGGCTTAAAAAGCGCTTGCTTTGTAAGCTGTGTTACTCAGCAGCGAACTTCTTATTTGGACGATTGTACATGTGAAGCCAAGACTTGCAGTTTTGCGAGGAGCTTGGCTGGCTAAGATACTATTATCTTAGTCAGCCAAGCTCCTCGCAAAACTGCAGACGATACTATCTTCACAGACATCATTGTCTGTGTCTGTGTTAGAGTGATTTAGCCGTTTCGATATTTTGCGCGCGTAAAGAAGCGACTGCCTTGCACACCGAGATTAAGCGGCCGTTAAAGTTTTTATTTACTTCCATTCACTTACTCCAGGACCAGAGAAGTAATAAGAATAGAATCGTCTCCACAACATACGAATGGACATAATAGGAAAGTGACAATATCTACTCTTTCAGCATATATTAGTCCACTGTTGGACGTATGCCTCTTGCATAGTTTTCCACTTTGTTCGATCTGGCGTCTCTTGTCTAGGTCGGCCCTGCCATTTTCCTGATATAATCAGACCATCTGGCAGTTATCTTCCTACGCTTCTGCTTCCCATCCTAGTTCGCCACATTAGGTAATCTGTGACAATACTGTCAGGAAATAATAATAATGTAAATAGATGTACCTTGAGGAAGGTCAGGTCTAGCCATCCAGACATCGTTCCAGACGTGATAGTTCCAGATGGAGTCAGCGCCTTGAGGATTGTTAGGGTCAAAGTCCATCTCCTCCATATGTTCCGTGTAGTATTTGTCAACTGTCAAGGAATTGTTGGCATCGTGCGCTGATACCAAATTGGAGACCACTCGAGATGGGATGCCAAGAGCACGGCACACTGTCAAAATATAAATTACATAAATTATAAATAATGTACTGAATAATACTTCAATTTAATTAAAACAAGACAACGATGCAATTTATGCTTCGTTTTAACTTAGAGTTTTATTATCTTTCTTATAAATATAATGATATGTCCATATCATCCTGAATAGTTTAATAAACAGACTTCTAATATGAACTAACGACTTCTATATACATACCTGCTGTCACAACGCCAGCGAATACCCAACATTGGCCGTATGGCACCTCTTGCTGGGTCTCTAAATATTGTTGCAGTATATCCACAGAGCCGGTCCACTCCGACGGAGCTGTACCATCTTCGTACTGCCCATCCCATCGACCGACTAGCACCCCAGCATCATCATTGGAGTTCACAATGCGGGAGATGGCACGAGTCAGTTTAATTGGGTCTCCACGCCTAAGAAGAAAAAGGTTGCATTGTTATAATAGAAAAAAATCTAATTTAAAATTAGAACATTCTATTTTAAAAATACAACAGACGATCATAAAATCTTTATCTTCTTTTTTTGACTCCAAAAACTTCGTCATTTATCTCAATATTGTATGTTTTGCGTTTATTTAGTTTTTCTTTTTTAATTATTATTATGAGAACCTTTTGTTATGTTAATGGCAACTCGTCGACTGTTATGGAAATACAAAATGTTTTGGTCAACTTTATTAGAAAAAAATATGGAAACACAATGTTATATCTGTGTAATCCTATGTAGTTTTTTTGTAGGTATATCTTATATCACTCTGGTATAATATACTTTTCAAATATGATTAGGTACTTATAATGTATTAAATATAAATCATAAGTATATTTAAGAGCTGCTAATACACGTCTTTGTTTTAAGAACTCTAACATATATGAACTTACTGATGGAACGGCATTTCAGCTCTGTCCAACATGAACATGCAAGCCGGTAGAACTGCCGCATCGAACTGTCCATAGACCCACGGTTTGCCTCTGGTAGTCTTTATGGGCCCCACCCACACTTTACCGACGTCATTCAAGATGTACTCCTGCAGTAAACTACAATCTTCCATGTAGGTCTGATCATCTGCAAAGAAAGTGGTCGAATAGTAAAATGTATGTTTAATTTATGTTGCAATTTATTGATGTATATAAAATATACTAGCAGACAAGCGCAACTTCTTCTGCATCACACTTACTCAATTTACATAATATATTTTGAAATTGTAGCTTATTTGTTATTCTGATGTATAAACTATATTACTATAAAGTGTCATCAAAATCCGTTCAGTAGTTTTTGCGTGAAAGAGTAACAAATATTCATCCATATTCAAAAACTTTCGCGTTTGTAATATTAATAATATTGTTGAATATACAATGATAAGCTGACATAATCTAGTAAAATTAAGTAAACATCTAAAGTAGATGCTTTAAATAAAATTAAGTTATTTGTAAAAATGTACCTACTTATTACATAAAATATCGTCCAAACAAAAACCAAGCAATCTAGTAATTAAATTAAGATTTCAGATGAGTGTCTATCCTAAGTAGAAGAATGAGCTTTGCAAATCGAATTTTATAAATCATAAACGCTGTAATATACTTGCAGTCACTATAGCGAAGTGACACAAACGATTCGACAATATTTGTGGATTTCTTATAATAAAGCAGAAAGCAGTCTCAAAAACTTGTATTGAAAACAACATTGTAAGTAACAAATTTGCACTTCAAGAAGGTTTCCGTTAATTGTCGTGAGTATAATAAACGGAAAAGTTCATTTTTAATTTTGATCATATTACACTTTTGCTTTTACAGTATAAAAAAATGTGACTGGGAACACATCAACTATTATTAAAAATGTGAATAATTTTAATAAACATGTAGGTATTAAACCCAGGAGTGCTCACTTGAGAAGTAGTCAAAACTGACATAAAATACAGATATTAAAACAATACAAAATTCATAAAAGTAATATTGGACAAGCAGTCCGCAACCAAAATAAAAACCCCAACTAAAGTACGAATCAAGAAATTTCTGGCAGTACACTTACCGGGATTCCAAGGGTTGAATAGAATGTAGATATCTTGATCGAAGTCGTATATTTGGCGTTCTGGAGAGTTTTTCAATCTGGTAACGACTCGGAGTACCCAGGACCCAACGGGGATATGCACTGGGGTTGATACCTGATAAATATATATTTTTAGTTATTTTTTTATATTATGCAAACTTGGGACTGAAAAGCTTAAAGAATGTAGACTTAGGTGGTATGGACATATTCTGCGCCGAAAACCACATTGTGAGAAAGTGCCTTTCCATGGCTACAACAAAAAGAGGACGAGGCAGGCCACCAACTACCTGGTTGACAAATGTCCATAGGGACATGAAGGAGTTGGGCCTGTCAAATGACGATGCTTACCAGCGAAATGTATGGCGCCCCAGGATTAGAAGAGCCGACCCCGAGTAACGGGAAAGGTGAGGATGAAGAAGAAGATGTGCAAACTTGGGAGAAAAGGGTCCGGTTGAAAATCAGCGCCGCCCAGGAGTGTCCTGTCGGCATACGCTGAACCGTGTCCTTTTGCGGCCTATAACTGGTAAAAAATAATAATTAAGTCCGCCAAATGTACGGATTATTTTTGTGCATTGAAGTTAAATAAAATAAAAAAATAATAATTAACTAAAATGTACTTTCTATTACGTAATTTCACATTCTTGGAAGTGCCCTCGAGGACCCGCAATATCAGGGGAATTGCAAGTCAGTTACCGGCCTTTTAAAATGGGGAAGAAGTACTTTTATTACGAGTTTAAAATATCAAAAATTCATAATCTAAAAGATTCACTTAACATAATGAAAAAGTATTACGGTTTTGTTGTTTAAAATTCATATCAAAAATTAATAATCGAAAAGATTCACGTAAGTCTCTATACCATATATTAGCATAATGAAACGAGTGTTGATAAATATAATAAAGTAAATGTAGTATGAATATTCATGATACAATAATAAATTGAAGCTATTCGAATCGGAATTAGAAATCATTAATTATGATAATATATACAAATTATCATTATTATAAACACAATATGATCACATAATTCATCGACTTAATATTAATAATAAGTTACGACTGCGCAAAAATATTACGGCCTTTTCCATAAACTAAAAAAAAAAATACATTATAGTAATCTGTAAATGAGATTTAAAAACAGAACTCATCTTTTTTTCCCTATTCAAGTTTAGAACACGTCTTAGTAGGGTATGTATTTTCTTTTTTTTTATACACTGTCATGTTTTTTTGTACCACGAAGGTTATAGTATATTTTTAATTAATAGAAAATATAGAAGTATATAATTTTATTAAATTTAAATATATTACTCTGTACACAGTTACTTTGTATTTTATTCTTAGATTTCTATCTTATTACAATTAATAAGTATTTATGTGTATATTTATGGATACTAAAACAAAATCAATAAATAGAATTTCCAATAAGTACCTACATTGTCGTCTTTGGCCTCATTACAGCCACACTAATAGACCAATTAATCATTGATATTATCAGTACTCTGTGCTTATAACTCAATTAATTTCCTCACTGACAGGTGCTAAGTTGAATAATTGTACATTACAAGAGTTATTTGTATGAATAGGTAGATACAATAAATATAGGTTTATTTACTACTAGCTAACCTGCAAAACTTCGTCTGCGTCACATTGAAATAGAAATAGAAATAATCTATATTCAAATAAACTTAATATAAACGCTTTTGAATAGTTCATACATGTTTTTTTCTTCTAGCGCTCATTCGGAAAGCAGACTCACACGAAGAACGACCTCAAAACTTGCGTATTGCTCTTTTAAATAAATGTTTTTAAGCATTACATTTAGGATTTTGTGTAAATACATACTCGCAAATAGCAAGACTGACAAAAGTAAATAAATATCTATATCTATACATACAAATAAAATTGGAGTGTCTGTTTGTAATATTGAAATAACCGTTTTCTACTACATGCATATAAATATAAATACGGAACATATACCAAATTAACATTTTTTTTAATTTTTGTCTGTCTGTTTGTTCCGGCTAATCTCTGAAATGACTGGACCGATTTTGACGGAACTTTTATTGGTAGGTAGCTGATATAATAAGGAGTAACTTTTCTTTCTTTCTTTCTTTCTTTCTTTCTTTCTTCTTTCTAACTTAGGCTTATTTTATTTTAGAAAACTAAAGTTAAATTCCACACGGATGAAGTCGTGAGTACAACTAGTACTTATATATAAATAGATACTTAATTAACCAAATAAATCTATCATAGTTATCAGAGCCGACCAGTCCATACAAGCAGCACCACTAAGCCAGCCACCACTGCGCTCAACCATATTTTAGAGTTGAGCCGAATATTATTAGGAATATTATTAATAGCACAGATAACATAATATTACATAGTGATAGCAAGCAATGTAACTCGTACTCCACGCAGTCTATTAGAAAACGAATTTATAAAGTAGATACCTAAATACAATGTATCTGAATAAATAGTCTATGACATGCGTAGTATTTTATAAATCGCTGCCTAAAATTTTAAAAAATTAAACCACGTATGTTCTCACATATAAATATTTACAAAATTCGAATTAGGAATTCCTATTTTTTATTTTCGCACCATAATTTAAGCGTATTATTTTAAACATCGAATTTAAAAACGTGACGCTTGTTCTAATTGTGAAATATTAATGTATCTGATAATGAAGTCGAAAAAAAAAAATTTTTTAAATAAAATTAATTTTTAAAAAATTAATCACGTAGTCATATTTAAATATTTACAAAATTCGAATTAGGAATGGCTATTCTTTATTTTCGCGCCATAATTTGCACGTATTATTTTGAACATCGAATTTAAAACGTGACGCGTGTTCTAATTGTGAAATATTAATTTTTATTGTGTTAATAATGCCGCCTGGATGCATATAAATTGTATAGTTATGTATGATTATGTTAAATAGGTACCTACTACTTACTACGCTGTCTGCATAAATAATGTCAAGGTCGTCTACTGAACTGGATGAACCGAGATGTACTACATATTATTATTACGTGTATAATAATAGAATTAAAAAAAAAATTACCTGTCTAAAGGTTTAATAAAATAATATTGCATCTTACTAATATTATAAAAGTGACAGTTTCTGAGTATGGATGGATGTTTATTACTCTTTCACGCAAAAACTGCTCAACGGATTTTGTCATGTTACAGCAATATAGCATATACATCAAAGTAACATATAGGTTATAATTTAAAAAGATATTATGTAAATTGGTTAAGTATCTATGATGCAGAAGATATTGAGCGGATCGGCAAATCATAAGTTCAATAACTTTTTATTGTCAACCAACTACTCCATACGACCAACTATTCCTTACTCCAATGACTCCCAAAATTCCATAATTTTTGTATGCAATATTAATAGAAATAGAAATAGAAAGAATCTTTATTCAAATAAACTCATTACAAGCACTTTTGAATAGTCATATTTTGATTCTACCACTCATTCGGAATGCAGATTCATCACAAGAAGAACGAGCAAGAAACTTGTGTGTTGCTCTTTTTAATAGATGTTTTTTTTATATAAATAATTACAGTATAACAAGTAAGAGGCATGCGATAATCAACATAGAAATCGCTACGCACTCATTATTAGTGTAATTAGATAATATTGTCAGTGCTATGGATTTAAAGTTTTTCTATAAAAACATTACACGATATCTCCGACGACACTGAATCGTTTTTAACAATTATGTTATTTTATTCATCTCATATATATTACCACAATTAGATATAATGTTTTATTTTATTATCCACATGTAGTGTATTAAATAAATATGCTACAGTTATAGGTCTGTAAACAACTTTACCGCTATGAAAATCGAGACACTACATTTTAATGTGCAGATATGACTCTATAAAATTTTATTACAATGTTGTGTCCATATTGCACCTTTTCTTCTTTGTTTATAGCAATTTAAATTGTATACATATAAATGGAATGGCAAACATGATGAGTAAAAGATAACCATCGCCGATGCATCTGAACAGTGCGACTAGGCGTTAGCTTTCTGGCGCGCCATAAATCCTTCCAAAGGTTTGGAGTACCATCTGCACTTGCCCATATCTTTCAATGAAGCTTTAAAGGCCAGCGGTCGACAGAATTACAATAGTTCGAAAAAAATAGAAACGAGCAATGCGAAATAGAATCTTATATGACACCCTCCACGGGTTGTCTTTCCGGAGATTACTATAATTACACTGACATATCTCAGCCATCAACCTTTATCTTTATAAAGTAATTCCCGACTTAAGGGACTTTCAACCCAGCTATCGGGGGGTTGTTGCCGGAGCAAAGAGTTTCAACATTCTAAAGGGTACAACCTTCACCCCTCTAGGGGGCGCGGATGTTAATCAATTCCTTCAATTATATTAGTCTATTATCTCTATCTATAATCTAGTTCCTTGACAGTGCACCTAAGTCTGTATTATGTTAACATCATAACTTTCAAATAATTACATTAGAATATTTGAAAGTTAGTCTAGACTTAATAGATTGTTTATTTAATAACAGGAAATGCTTGTATAATATCTAGATCAAAACTTTCGATACCAGATGTTAGATAAGATAATATTTAGTTGCTGTAAATCGAACCAGTAACCAGTCATGTGTAAATTTCGCAAACCAATGGCTCCTATCTCTCAATGCTCTCAATAATGACAACACATAGAGTTATACTTCTTAGTATTCCATGGATTTATATTATAGTGAGAATGCCGGGTCCATCATGTGACGGGGATAGAAATTTCTAGAACATTTCCGCTAGAAACATAACTTAATTTATGATTCCGTAAATTTATTTGCTATTGCAAAGAAATAAAAAATAATGTATTGAAACACAAGATAAAAAAGCGCAAATTCCATTTTCGAACGATTCAAGCGCAAATATGAATTTCGAAATTTAAATAAATACCAAACAAGCGACCGTTACACCACAGATAAGTTAATATTACCTAGTTATGCCTACTAACTTAACTATTATTTACTTTTTACTGCTAGTTTTATTTACATTATTTTATAACATTTACATATAATAAAATAGTAATAAAATAAAACTTGTAGACGGCACAAATGACAGCATCACTGCTAATATTATTTTTGTATTAATGCACAAATGCCCACATGTTTTTTACATTTTATGCTTTGTGTATCTATAAATAGAATACAATATTCGATACCCGTGAAATATGTACCCTACATTACATACAAAATCCAGATTATACTTATTATGTTTTTTTTTATTATATTTGAGAGCCTCGTAGTGTAAAACAATTGTTTATATTTAACCGACATCAAAAAGTTTTGTCTAAATTAATATTTCTGACTAACTCAATTTGTCATATGTGGAGTTCACCACGTCGACAGTTTATAAAGCTTCTGACTACCCCGTCTGGGATAACAGTCGTGAAGGTGTAATTATTTATATTATATTTTACATTAGTTATACGTATATATTTGTGATACTAAGTTTCATAAATGTAAAATAGTTAGTATTAGTTTAGTGAATTGTTATTTTCCCGACTTATATATAAGTATACTTTAATAGTAATAATCCTAGACAATTTACACAGCGCCATTTCATCCCAATAATTAAATTAATTTAAGCAATAGATCTTGTTTTGTACGTACTAGACTACTGATCTAAATACATACATAATTTACATAGAAAATGCCTAGAACAATACAAACAATCATGAATACAGATGTTTGTGTGAGGAATCAAACCCGTGCGCATCGGTAATAAGACGGTGTGCTATACTGCTAGACCGCCTAAGACGTCTATTCTATAGTTTCGTGTAGTCTATCTACAGTCTATCTAGTCTATAGATGGTTATAGATAAACTTAGACAGAAGCAATGACCTCTATAATAAGAATTGACAATTGTTCATATTGTAGTTTATTAAGACAATCAAGAATATCCACCATTTAATTAATGCGTTTGAGTTACAAACTGTATATTTATTAACAACTGCTGTTACCGCGACCTTGTTCCTAAAAACATTGGATTATTATTGGTAATACTTGGTCTTAATTCATTGTAATAAGACCTATTTTCTACATGATTTGTTGCAACTAAAATGTCCGTATCTCATGATTAACCCGACTGATTCTAATTTACCCACACCAGTTTTAAAATTGAGCTTATACCTACTCAATTATAAAACTTTATTGTATTATGCTCAGCTATTTTTCGTGATGAGGTAACATACGGTTGACAAACGTTAATTCGAATAAGTAGAAGAATTTCTGAATACTAACTATAATACTTTGTTGTTATATTCATTGGGATAAAGATACCTTCTTTATCCTTCGCTATCATAAATGCTACGTACGTAATCAATATTCTTTAATAATTATTACATGAAACCGTTACAGATAAGCACACTATTGAATGCATAATTATACTTAGGAATCTTAACTAAGTCATCATTTATACTACTGACTGTTTAGATACAGAAATTAGTAATGTTCTGTATTAATACAAAACCTGTTAAGGAAAAGAAATAAGTGAGTGTCCGCAGTCTACTTCTAGAACGCCATCTATAACCTATAGCTAACAAAAATCTCAAGATTATGGTAAAACTGATAATAAAATAACTGATAGCTTGGATATCAGGTAAGTTATAAAAATAAATAAATAAAAGAAAACAAAACAGTAATCTTTATTAATAATAACAACTATTCTCTACTGAAATCTGCGTTTCTTCCTGCCTCGTATATTTAGATTGTACAAGAATTACCTGCCGAGATTTTCTCACGATATTACAGCATAGGATTCAATGGGTATATTAAAGTTTCTTAAGTGTCAGCAACGCGCACGTGACACCCTTGGTGCTTCAGGCGTCTATAGGTTACGGTAATCGTTTACCATCAGATGCCTACGCAGTATTCTTATTTCCCACCATCGTAGTATAAAAAACAAAGATATCTGACCGAATTATATGAGGCATAGCGGTTAAAAATATTGTAGTTCATAAATAAAAAAGATGACCTAAATTAATTATTCATTTTGACTTTGAGTTTGAGCGATGTAATAATATCCTAAATTAGCCTTTGGTGAGATAGATCGAGTGATCCTATACCAGAGCTCAGCTCAAGCAAGATCGATAATGATGAAACAGATTATGTATTTTGAACTCACCTCAAAAGACAGGGTATCTTCTTGAACATGAGTCAATTTGGCGCTCCAGGAGTGTTTGTCAGATATCGCGTCAGGTTTCAGGAACACGGAGCCCTGGGTGTCCATTTGTGGTTTGTCCCCTAAAAATATAGAATAAAGTGTTATTGTGTGAAATGTTACTAATATTATAAACGCAAAGTTTGTGAATTAACATTTATGGATGGATGATGGATGGATGGATGTTTGTTATTCTTTTACTTAAAATCTATGGAATAGATTTTAATGAAACTTTACAATAATATAACTTATACATCAGAATATATAGGCTATAACGGGCACAGCTAGGATTACATATATCTGTTAGTTTATAGACTGGCTTATTCCTGCTACTAAGAAGTTTATTTTGTTCCTGTTTGAGAAGATGGTAAGATCCATCAATGATATATATCCATCAATGAAATATAGTATTATAGTGTGATCCCTTAATACTCAGGAATGACATAGCATTATCGGTACCTCTTGCATTATGAGATGACGAGATGCTGTGAGTTGAGATGATCATTCTGATTTCAATTTAGTAACGTAACGTAATAGTGTCTGCCCAAAATTAATTTTATTAACTATTAATATTAACAGTTATTTATTTACGATTAAGCCCTGAATACAAATGTTGGCAACATGCGAGAAATCGAACCCTTGACCATCGGAACTGAAGCGGTGTGCTAAACCAGACAGACCAGACCATCAAGGCCGTCATAGTAATGGCAACGAGAAATACCACGCTCACACTATAACATGTAGCTGCTGTCAGTTAAACGATATAAAAAAAAGTAGAGCAGATTTATTTACCTACTGCATACAAACAAAACAAAATTGAATCAAGGGCATAAAGTTACGATTTAATTATTTCCTCGTTTAATTAAAAAATATAACAACGTACCAAGCGAGAACACGAGTTGTACTAAATCTGTTTCCTCGTCGTAGGGCCTGTTGAACCGCACCACGCCGTTGAAGGGTTGTCCGCGGCGGATTATTGTCGTTGTGGGATTTTCATCATTCACCACTTCATATCTACAAATAATAATAAATACATGTGTTTATATATATATATATATATTTGTAAATTTTACATATATAAGTAGAACAGTTTTAGTGTAAAATAATTTAGCCACTTACGTACGTAACATTTTTTATGCACTGATATAAAAGATACAATTGAGAATAACTAGCAAGAAACTCAACTGAATTTCTTTTTTTTGTTAAAGCAAATTTATTAACATTGTGTACTTATGTAGGTGTATATGACTGACAATAAACAATTTTCATTTTATATTTCATGACAAGTTGTTACCATGACTTCGTCTGCAAACTTATTTCATCCCCATTTTAGATAATTCAAAAGGTAATCCTCCTAAGTAAATACAAATATATTAGGAACATTTTGAATGTTAATATATAATAATAATAATAATATATTAATTCATTTTTTACACAATGTCAGTAATTTATAGGCCGTAACATCTGTGCTAGGGAATCCCTGTGTTACAGATGTTATTTCCTTCCACAATGGTTGGTTCAATTTTACAGTTTTTACGTAGCTTTGACGTACTTTAATTTTTACTATCTTATATGACATCTGATGAATTTGTTTATAGTATATGATACATATAAACGAAGTTAATTATTAAAAAATCTTGTACCTTATTCTCTTTTTATTGCTTTATGAATCGTATGTTTATTGCGACTTACTTCATAGTATTATGTGGTTGGGCGTTCTCCTTCGGATAGAAATGCACTACATCCACTACTAGCGGCTCCATTTTCAATCTGTAAGAAATTTAAAAATTATATAACAATATACTTTCTGCTGTCTTTTTCTTAATTGTACATGGAATAGTTACTACGTATTTCTATAATTTTATTTCATATTATTGTATTATATATTTGTTTTATAACATAAATATAATAATAATAAATTCCATTTATTTTAGCGCCTTGTCTATGATGTCTGTTCTTCTCTACCCAATTGTAAAAGTCTGGAAGAATCTTATCCAGACAACCTTTAGGAAGAGTTTAACCTTTTATTTTATTAAAAGACTGCCTTTTGTACCTACATTCTCCATATATATTGTGTTTTTTTAAAGGTGCAATAAAGAATAATAAATAATATACCCACGAATTTTATTGAAAATGCAGTAGTAAATAGACACACAAAGTCTTTTTGATGAACTGACTCACTAACACTCGGACTCTCGGTCTCTGATTAAGTCGGAGCAGTATACCTCTAGACCACGATACTGTCTCAAATTTAAAAATATATACATACAATAGACTATAGAATAAAGATTATATATAAATCGGTGAAGTGAGAAACACCATCAAGATTCGTTGTTTATAAACGTAGCTATAAATAAAACATGGATTCGTTAAATAGGTACTTCCAAATTCTGTACCTATTGCTATGTCTAGACGTAAATTATGTATACATTATTTAAAACACGTTACCTAACGCAACATGGTAATATCATTATTGCGTAGACACACATTAAACAGTACAATTTCAATACAATGTACTTACAATTTTCAGAATTGTTTGATTGTCAAATAGCGCATATATTTAATCTCTGTGACACTTCAATACATCATCTATTTAGACAGACTTATACAACACCCGTTTAAACTACATAGTTGTTACTCGCGACTTTGTCTATATGTTTAACATAAAAGTTTATCTATATCAGTCCTCGTGACGATCTATTTTCACGTCAACTTTCATTTTGTGATCTTTACTTCCAAAGCCGTTAAGCCGTGTATTCTTATTAATAGCGAATCTTAGTAATCACTATGCTAGCTATGTACCATGTCAGTTCGAACTCCACGCGGTGCCCCCAACAAAGACCTGCCTATACCATGTCAGGTTGATCTCCACGCGGTTCCCCTTGGAATCCATCGTGATAAATTCTTAGTGAATTTGTTACGATGGGCTAACTGACCTGACCTCATACTCATCTTATTATCCTTCACTGTTGACCCGCCAGCATAAAGCGCAGACGGGTGCACCATTCCATTATCATCCATAAAAAAACGAAGACCTGCCTGTCTGATCTGTCCTGACTTAATTCTTTTCCTATGATCGTCGACTAGTGCCATACCAACATAAACAATTTAATCCCTAGCACCTACACCATACCATTCTCAACAATTGAGAAGCTAAAATACTATTTTTTTAATAGGGAACCTTTGTAACTCTATAAGACCGATGGTAGTATTCCAAGAAGCTAGAAGACTAGAGTTTTTGTAGATTTTATTACAATGGATGTTCTATATGTTAAAATAAGAAGACATTTTCACCAAAATAGACTTGATGGAAAGCTTGTTTGGCATTTATTTGCAGTTAATTTAATTGTAAGTGGTAACCTATATACATGGTGGCGATGTAACATCACGCTACGAGTAATAGGAGTGAAGCTACCCAAAAATTGTGATGGAGGTGAAATTGAGCAGATCAACTAGTACTACTTACTAATATTATAAACACGAATGTTTGTAACTATGGATGGATGGATGAATGGTTCACGCAAAAACTATTGAACGGATCGACGAAACTTTACAGTAATATAAGCTATATTACTGTACTGAAACTTTACAGTAATATAAGCTATATTACGGATTTCGATGAAACTTTACAGTAACATAAGCTATATTACTGTAAAGTTTCATCGAAATCCGTTTGAACCATTCAGCCATCCATCCATAGTTATCAGAATACACATAGGCTGTAATTTAAAAAGGCATTATGTAAATCGGTCGAAATATAATGATAAATGTCAAGCAAGTGTGATGAGATGAAGTTACACGGGTCAGCTAGTACAAAATGTTATTACTGCCGATGATGTTCTAATACCAACAATCTCCGTAGGCGTTTCAATAATAAATCAATATAATAAAAGTCTGTCTGACACATTTTGTTCTGATGTCATAGCAAATAGGTAGGATCTAACATATCTGTTATTGAAACTAAATTTCTACATTCCCTATTATTAATGTAATAGGAAGATAGAAATTTAGTTTAAGATAATGACAGATATAAAGAATCTTTGAAAAATTTTATTACCTACATATATCCTCGATGGTGTAGTGGTTTTCCACTGACTTTGGTTACGGGTTCGATCGCCGCACAATACTAACATTTGTGGTTATAAGTTATGAATTTTTCTTACGTATATATTTACTAAAATATCCGTATTAGCAATAAAAAATAGGTGCTCTAGAATTTAAGTCTTAATTATGATTATTATCGCAGTAGCCTTTATGTACTACTGTGACCTCTGTCTCACCAATTTTAGCCGCCAAGCAGCTAGCTTTGAATTATTCGTTTCGGTTTAAGGGTAAATAAGGCAGAGAAATTACAGGGTATAGCGGCATGACATCTAGAATGGCAACGCATGAGTGGTATCATGAGCATCATATAGCAACATATGTCTATATTGTTGTTCATGTATATATAGTATGTTTACCATTCCAATAACAAAAAAAATCATTTTTATGCCAAAACGTTATAAAATACAATGTAATATCACTGATAATTATAGATCAATTTATACTCTTTCAAATTTTACATTTATCAGTCTTCAGATGTTTCTCTTCTAATTTCCTACCTAATCTCGTCATTCTTATAATAAGTCAAATTGACATTCTTATATATACGCGTTTATTTATATATCTACCGAACAGTATAATCTCTGCTTGAATCTAATAATAATATATGTATAGATAAAAAATCAATTACTGTTGACTTTATTACAGTTCTATGAGTAATTTATTTATATGTGTAAATTTGAAGAAAAAATATACAATAACACTCTGTCCGAAATAATTATCTAATTGTCTCAATTAATTTGGTATTCTCTGAATTAAAATCAATATATTTTTATTATTATGTAAATAAATTCTGAACATCATTTAGTCAGAAGAGCAATACGCAAGTTCTTTCTCGTTCTTCTTGTGATGAGTATGCGTTCCGATGAGAATAAAAAATATGTCTATTCAAAAGTGCTTATATTCATTTTAGTTAAATAAAGCTTATTTTTATTTCTAAATAAAGTTCTTTATAACATTTATATTACGCACCTTTAAATAAATTTCACTGTTTACTATCACTTTATTTCATTCACCGACCACTATATGTCACAGTTTTTTATACTCAGCGCGTATATTTAGAACGAGAATGCCGGTTTGCATGCGCGCACGCAACTGAGCGATCGAGATGTCAGCTTCACGGTGTATATCTTGGGACGTGTGCCGGTAAAGTAACAGTAGGGTGACCATACGTTACAACTTAACTATATTTTTTCACAAGAAAACAAGTTCCACATTAAACCTACTCTAATGTATATTATACTGGTTGTCCTGGTAAACGTTGTATTGCCATGTGAAAAATACTAATATCGCCATTAAAAATACGGGCATTAGCATATGTTAAGAGAACCACATATATTAAGCGAACAGTCAACCTTAGGTTTCCAAACTATATCCGAACTCCATTCAATTGTTGTTCAAAAACACGTGTCACAATATAGGCGTAAACTCAATAACTATCTGAATTTGAACACCAATAGAGATGAACGCAGTGCTTCCAGTCCCTTCCGATCGATCCCCCGTCCAATTCAAACGGGGATCGAAATTACGACGGCCTGAGCCGAGGTTCGAACCCCTAGTGGTGCCCTCAGACTAAAGTCGTATCCGTCAGGCAGGAGTTGGCCTTCAGCCGCTCCATAAGTCCTTCCGGGGTTTGGAGGGCCATCTGCACTCGCCTCCTAACCTCCGGTGAAGCTGTAAAAGCCAGCTGCGGCCAACAGCATTAGAGTAGTCCGAAAAAAAAAAGAGCTTCCAGTAACGGCAGTCAAGTTTTCGCACTAAATATTTATGGACTCGCACGCTAATGGAAGTGGAATTAAACAAAATAGTATAAATCCATTAAGTACTCAAAATAGACAAAATACATGAGGTGCCAAAATAAATGAGATGACAAATGCATGATTCAGTAATCGTTAGTATTGACCTTGGGATTGAACGATATCAACGCTTACATAATACTACGACTCTCGGTGTTATAAATAAGGTATAGTGTTAGTCATGTCTAAACGGGATCACCCACCGAGTCTTTTTTATGTAATTAGAATGGTAAACAAGTTAACGGGCCATATGATGGTAAGTGGTAACCATCGCCATCGCCATCGGAAGGGGATTATTAGTAATGTGGAGTATTATCCCCATTGCTAGCAAATCCACACGGTTTCCTCTGGAAACTATGGTGAGAAATTCCTGGTGCATTTGCCACGATGTGCTAACTGACCTGACCTCATATTCATATTACCATCCTCCACTGGTATATAGCGTAAATCGTTAGCGGAAGCTTTGTTGCATCAGTCCATTATCATCCATTAAAAGAAAACCACACCTATAAAAATGTATATGTTTATGCAGAGTACTGTTCATATATATATATGTATGTTCATTCTTTGTTGTGGTAAAGATACCGTTATTACCACACACATAATATGGCACAGTTACCTTGACGGTGTATTCCATAAATTTTTGTAAGAATAAACCGTAATAAAAGAAGGTAAATTTTCACCGTCGCGTATATCAGTGTACGATTAACACAGTTGAACGAATGAATGAATGAATGACTATTCGCACCGTCAAGCAAAGAAAATTATTACTATAGTCGTCCCAATTATTCCATTAAAATTGGAGTCTCTACAAGACGACCAATGAATTCGCAGTAATCTATATATAAAACACGTCATAAACGATTCTATAGTACTATGTGTCCATAGTTACACGTCATTGTAAATATTCGTCATCAATACGAGTATGTCAATGTCGATTACCTGAGAAGACTTTCCCGTTGTATTCCGATGATTGTTTTTGCTGGTACGTGATTATAGCTGGGTTTTACGCCAAAATATTATCGTCCTTGAACCACAGTTTGCGACTCTATCTATTTTTTATAAGGTACAATTTTGATTACACTTGCACTACGCCGGTTATAAACTGTTTCCATACATCTTGTTTATTTCCAATGTATTCAATACGTTTTTGTACTGCATTTGTTTTATTCCGTTGATACTATTGTATCCCAGGCGTGGAAAGGACGAAACTATTAAAAAAATACTATTATATATTTTTTATTAGTTTCGTCCCTTCCACGCTCCTATTTGTACATTATTTAAAATTTCCCTATTAATTCTTTACAAAAATTTCACAGCCGCCAAATCCAGTCACTAAGACCTCTTATCTGCTTACTGGCAATAGTTTATTACCCAACATTTCAACCCCAAAGGTCATAAGTTCAAATCTGGTCGACAGAAAAATATTTCTGTGACACAGGTTTTCCTAGCACGGGTTCTTTCCCAATCTGTTATATTATTATATTTACAAATACTAATAGAATTAAATAAATATTATTTAGGAAATGCATCATTTCGTACGAACAAATATGTAAATTCAAGTATATCAATATACCTCGATTCATAAACTATACGATGTTTAAGGAAAGTTGTTATCAAGTAAGTATGTATAGTATTGTATGGGTACTGTTCAATAAAAATAATTTAAATTTTCATTTAAACAAATATATACATATGTCAAATAATTTTATGATTATTATGCTTTCACTAGTCACTACATCAGTGTCAATATAATAACCAAATTAATGTATTTATGATTATTATTTCTGACGAACCCTTCGATGATGGAAACACTTCAAAACTTAATCTGTGAGACGATAGTAGACTTAACTCCCAGTCCAGCTGGGTTTCATGTAGCCCGCGAAATGTGTGGGTGACCTCTGACTACCCCATTTTGGGCTACCAGTTGCGAAGATATATTATTTTAATACATAAAAGAATATTAACATTATTATACCCTTTACTATTCTACTTTTAGGAAAAATTCTTAATTAAACTATTATTTATTAAAGCCGCAAATAGCGACAAAATCTTAGAAAAACAAACTTCCATTCAAATTATGAGCCAACCATCGTAGGCGTGGTTTCTTGAGTCGCTATGACTATTTAGTTGCTAAGGTCACAAACTTATAAGGTCAATGTCCGTTTATCAATAACGCAAAGCACAGCAGGAAATAATATTACTTTATACCACGTAATAATTGACAAACATTCTAGCTAATAATAAAAAAGGAAAATCTATCCGTTTACATAACTCGTCTGTCTTTATTCAAACGGAAAACAAATACACGAATCAATATTCTCATTAGTCACTATTTCTGTCTTAAACCATTTAAATTTATTACTACTCTATGTTTCTGTAATCGTGTAAAATAATTTATTTTGTAATTTATTAGTACCTACGATACATTTTTTTCATACAAACAAACATGCAATTTAAGTACTAGATGAAGTTATTACCCCCACTCAGCATTACTACAGAAATTGCTACTCTGTTGTTCCCCATTTAGGAACGTAAAAGCTGTATTGTTTAAGGTTTAACAAAGGTAGAGTTTAGATTTCAATCATTTATACCTAAGTATTTCTAGTTTTTTTTTATACTACTCTAATGCTGTTGGCCGCAGCTGGCCTTTACAGCTTCATCGGACTATAGCGGGCGAGTACAGATAGCACTCCAAACTCGCGGAAGGACTTGTGCAGCGGCTGAAGACCAATTCCCACCTGACGCCTGACGACTTTAAGCCGAGGGCTAGGGGTTCGACCCTTGGCTCAGCCCGTCGTAATTTCGATCCTCATTTGAATTGGATTGGGGATCGATGGGAATGGAAATAAGCCACATTTTACAGTCTGATTCCGGCTACCACAAAAGAATCAGACTAATACTAGCATATTGCATAAGTCTACTGTTTTCGAGTCCATAGTAAATACTATAGGTCAATAAACTTCTGAACGCGCTAATTATAAAATACAGAAATGAACAATTTAAATTACAATATTTCTGTCTAGTCCAGATCAAAGAACAACACTAGAAGTCAAAATACAATATAAATCTAAACGTCAGTTTGGACGCAGTCCAATAGTTTTGACATTAATTTAAATTATAGTTTTCTTTTAGGACCATTCCAAGATACATTAATTTTATTATCCAGATCAACAAAAAAATTAAGAGGGAGCACTATCTATGCATATAATAAACATACACAGACATAGGTTACTTTTTAGTGCGTAAAAATGGTTCTAAAACATTGAATGGGCAGATAAAAGGTTGTATGAAAGTATCGTAATTTTTTAAATAGAACTATGAAACTGTTTTTTGGGTATAATCTAACTAAATATATTTTCTTATTTGGTCAAGGTCACTATTGACCTACTACTACTTTACTATTCCACGCGGACGAAGTCGCTCGCACAGCTAGTGTACAATACAAATTAAGTCAATAAAGCTCAAAACATGCAAGCACAATTTACAAAATCGACAATAAATATTGGTCAAAATTAAAATCAAATCACTTTCCTTTACAATAAAAAATAAGTTTATTGTTATTCTTGGTGTGGGAGCTGTAAGGTAATGTACGATACGATATACGTACGATACGATACGAAATACGATATGTAAGGATCTAAAATCAGAGCAGTAGTTCTAGAATTTACTTTTCTTATAACAAAATATTGTGTTTACAATATTATACGCCACAGCATTTTAAACAGAAAATAAAATCGTACATAGATTAAAATAATGTCAAAGATCAATTGCAATAGATAACAATATTATTATATATACTTCGCAGTTTAAATTTAATTTTTATGTAGGCAGCCAGTTTGATAAGACACTTGCACTTTCATAAGATAATGAAATAGTTTATTATAATTGATAGGTATATCTATCTGAAGGCACTCGGACCTCTTTACCCACTCCATCAGAATTTGCCTTGAAAGTGATCTTTTAAGTACACAATCTTTAAGTTTGACATAGCAAAAGGTTATTACTTTTAATATGATTATGCTAAGAATCTAAAATCCACGACAGTAAAAATCTCTATGAAATTCTTACAACTGGCCACTGTTGTTTATGAAAGTAAGAAAAAATTACCATATCGTAATTTGCATTTTATTTACTTATTATTTACATATTAGCATAAATACATAATGATTTTGTTCACTAACCAACAGTGATGACATAAATTAACATAATACATATATATGTTTGTTTATATTAAACACCAGTTTGTTTTAACTGCTATTATTTAAGCCATAAACAATATTAATTTCATTTT